GCCCGTCTCAGGTCCGGCTGCCGTCTGACCCACAGCAGTGCCCATCCCAGGGCCAGCTGCCGTCTGGACCCGCAGCAGCGCCCGTCCCAGGGCCGGCTGCGGTCTGCCCCACAGCAGTGCCCGTCCCAGGGCCAGCTGCCGTCTGGACCCGCAGCAGCGCCCGTCCCAGGGCCGGCTGCCGTCTGACCCGCAGCAGGTGGGTCCGTTTTCCACTGCGTTCCCGCTCTGAGGATTAGTCTCTCCCGGCCTCCAGACATCCTATACACCAAGCCTGGGATCTTGTGGACCCAGTGACCTGGGCCCCCTGTCCTCCGGCACTTGGCAGGGTGCCCCCACATGGCCCATGCCACTCTGGTCTGACCACAGAACCGAGGCAGGCCTTGTGTTCTGCCCTGTGCGTGCTGGTGGGCTTCCAGGTGCCGCTGCGTGTCATCATGGAGTCAGAGCTACAGGTAGGTTCCAGACCTCTAGCTGTCCACACACCCCATTTTGTGAGGGCCACATCTGTTCCAGGTAGCCTCAGACATGGACCGTCTGCAGAATGCAACCTTGTGTGAGGAGGTGGCTGTGGCTTGGCCCCACTTGCTGGGCCACCTGGGCCTCGTGGGGAGTCAGGTTCTTTGCGGTTGGCTGGACTTATTTCAGCAGGTCGCCTGAGAGCGGGGGTATTGCCACCTGCTACACCGCACCAGCCCTGTCCTGGCACAGAATGGGGCATGGGAGCCCCTACCCTGGTGGTGCTCTTCTCTGCCCAGGGTGAGGGTTTATGTTGCCCGTTGGGTTCTGTGATGATACCCAGGTTCTTGGTGTTTTGGACAAAGAATTAGATTGTTACCTAAAACTGAGTACACTCCCGGGACGTTGGGAGCAGGGCTGAGCATCGTAGTGGCGTTCTGCAAAGTTTATAATCAATATTTTTTTAAGAATTACTTTATTGGGACCAGCAGTTAGTGTAATGACTATGTCGCTGGACTCCCATGTAGTCGACCGTGGTTCAAGTCCCGGACCCGGTGGTTTAAACTCACACCGGGTGTGTGTGTGCGTGCGTGCGTGCCCAAGATCCCGAGAGAATGGAGGAGAAGGGATTGCGGCATGGCCACCCCCACCCCCCAGGGGGTGGTGATTTCTCGCTTCCTGTCTCCCTATCTGGCGAGCGCACGCGCCCTATAGCAAAAAAAAAAAAGAAAAAAAGAAAAAAATTTAACTTTATTTTAATTTGACCAGAGAGACAGAAAGAGAGGGAAAGTGAGAAAGCAAGCCACCATATCCAGGACTCAACATGATGGTTGGCCATGTGGTAGACCAGCACCCTTACCCACCATGCCACCTGCTGGCCCGGCCTATAATTATTAATGGAGGTCATGTGGGTTGACCACCGGCTGGGCCCACTGATTGTTCTCATCTCACCGGCGCTATGAAATGTGGCTGGCCTCTCTGATCTCTCATGTGCCACATGTGGCTGGGCCAATCTATTTCTCTCATTGGCTTTATCAGATGTGGCTTAATCAGATAGACATCCCCCACCAATCACCTGCTTACAGTACCTTGCGCACAGAATTTTCTGCCTTGATTGATTTTTCTATTTAGCCACATGGGCACTTGTGCCAGCCCCCTTACCTGCTGTCATTCGCTAGCTTTCTCTGATCTGGCGTGGAGCGAGTCAGTTCTTTGACCTCAGCTCCAGTGCAGCCTGTCTGGGACCAGCCCCCATGCCAGACTTAGGGCCACACCTCTTTGCAGGGATTCCTGTCTTGAGAACTCACCTGCAGGGTGGGAGAGTTGCCCTGCCACCCTGTCAGACTGGGTGCTGTTGCTAGCTTGAGTCCCAGGCCAACCCTAGCACCTACCCCCTTCCTCCCTCCAGGTTGGTTAACAATGGCCACCGAGGGACCACTGAGGGTGGCATAATGGTTACGTCACTAGACTGCCACGTAGTTGACCACGGTTTGAGTCCTGGACCTGACAGCTTCAAATTCAACGCCGGGTGTGTGTGTGTGTGTGCATACCCAAAAACCCCAAGAGGAGAATGGAAGAGAAGGAATTGCACAATGGCCATCCCTCCCCCCCAGAGTGATTTCTCACTTTCTGTCTCTGACACTGGTGAACACATGCACCCTATCAAAATCTCTTAATAAATAAATAAATAAATAAAGGCCGGTGGGAGGAGCTAGAAGAATCTTGACCAGGAATCACTCTGCTGGTGCGGAAAATCTTGTGTCCCCAGTGGTGGGGCCGCCTTGGTGGAGAAGGGCGAGCACACGGGAGGAAGTCTGCTCTCTGCTAGTGTAAGGAGCTCCAGAAGCCAGGCCGCCAGCCCCAGGGAGAGGCCCACAGGTGGTTGTGAGCTACCACTGAGCACTCAAAACTGGCCACAGGTCCAGTGGGGCCCGCCACAGCAGTGGTGCAGACACTACTGCAGGTGGCCCCCACCCTGCCTGGTGGGCAGTGTCTGTGACCCTCTTCCCAGACACAAGGACTTGGACCCCTGCCTCTGAGGCCAGAAGATCTCGGCTTCAGAGGGAGCCTGCATCCGGAAACCTTCAAGGAAGAGCGCATCCCACCCCACCTTCGAATCACCCAGGACCGCGTTCTTGGCACGGCCCAATCAGTGCAGCCCCCACTGCCTTGTTCACAGTCTGCTTGCAGAGCCGCAATGGAGGGTCCGTCCATCCCTGTTGGGAACCCCCACAGCAGGACACGAGGGATCCTGTCCGGAGGAACAGCTCAGGAGCAAGGAGCCTTCGGAGCCCTCACTCCACCTGGGCCCTCCCTGGTGCTGAGGTTGCCATTGACCCATGGCAGGCTCCGGCCTTCAGCATGTGCTGTTGACCCTGAGGTCTGGCAGGTACATCACACGGGTGACGCTGACAGCACCCTCCAGGCTGTTCCTGGCTGGGGCATGGGTCCTCCCAGCCCCACAGTGGGCACAGCTGCTTAGGATGAAGCGACACTCACATAGGTCAGTGTCCTGTGTCCTTCAGGTACCAGTGGAGGGCCAGGAGCGTCCAGAGGAAAGGCAGGGAGGCTGTACTTGTTCGTGGAGTCGATCAGAATGGGGTACTTGTGCCTGGTTGGCAGAGAGGTTGCTCCGGAGGAGGAGCTGGGCCTTGCAGGGAGTTGAGATTGATTGCAAGGGAAATGTGTTAAGAATTGGCCAGAGGACCAAAGGGAGCCACAGTCATAATTTGGGAGTTTTAATCCAGGGTTTCTTTCCCCCCCTTTTTTGATTATTTGTTTAACTTTATTTATTTACTAATTTAAATTAGTTTGATCAGAGAGGGAACGGGCAAAAGCAAGCTGCCAGGTCTGAGACTTGAACCGTTGTCAGCCATGTGGGAGTCCAGCACCGATAATCACCACGCCACCTGCCGGCCCCCTAATCCAGTGTTTCTACCTTTGGATTTAGCAGTCATTGGGGCCCTAGGTCCCTGGTGTCTTAGTGCCTCTCTAGCAAGAAACCATAGTTCATTGACGATGCACGTGTGATCAGCAGGGCCTGCACTGACCCAGAGGAGTTATCACCCAGATTTGCCTCTCTGCAAATGGGGTGCTGGTCCCAGATTTAGTCCAGGTGTGAGCTCTGGCCAGAGATCTCTGGGCATTTCAGTGACACCCAGCACTCAGGGCTCAGGAGCTCACCCCGGCCCGTCCGGAGTAAACAGTTCGTGTGTTAATGGAGTCCTCTCTGTTCGACTGGCAGTTCTGTACAGGCCCTGGGAATGTGGCTGTCAGCCTGTTCCCTGGCCACACGGAGCTCCGTCACCCCAAGGGGCTTGTCAGGGAATGTTCGGGATGTCTTTTGTCCCACCTGGGATGGGATTGGTGAGTGGGAGCCGAATGTATTGGGAGTGGGGGATGGAACAAGGGGAGGGTGAGCAAGGCAGAGGGAACGAACGGTATGAGTGAAAATCACTTGGAGTGAGTGGGCTTCAATGAACTGAAGTGAGTGAAGCATTTTAGATGCAAAAAGCACATTTAACTGTGGTGGGGTGTCAGAGGCCCTCCACCACCAAGGAGAGTATTGGTTTTTTACTTTTATTGTGGGGGGCGTGATTAAGAGAAAGCAGCCCCCACGGGGTGTGGCCCTGCCGCAATTCTCCAGCCATCTCTCCCTCCGTAAGGGATTTTAGGCACACACGCACATAAAGCAGGTGTCTCTCTCAAGCCTTGGGTCTGGGACTCAAACTGCAGAGTTGGCCACGTGGGGTCCAGGGCCTTCACCACACCACCTGCTGACTCAGTTCTAACCTCTGATCTGTGGTCAGGGCAGAGCTGCCGAAGGGCTCTGACTTGGGAAGACCCCAGGTTGATACGTGCTTCAGAACAGAACACGGTATTGGGAGAAGTGAGATTGGAGACAGGACGGACCAGCAAAGAGGTGCAAGTTCTGGGAACTCCGAGCTGAAGGTCAGAGTAGTATAGGCGGTAGGTGGAGTCCACTGGGATGAATCCCCAGCCTAGTAGCATTCAACACTGGGGCCCTTGGAGGAACGAACATGCCTCTAAATGAGAGGGGCCCAGAATGCATGACAGATGGGCAGGACTTCCACATGACTGCAGTTGGAATCTTGGACCTGTTGGCTTGAAACTCAGGCCAAGTGTGTGCATGTATATATGCCCAAGATCCTAAGAGGAGAATGGAGAAGGGAAAAAGGCCATTTGCTCTGGGGAGTGATTTCTCACTTTCAGTCTGTCTCCAAAAGTGCTCGTGCCGTATAGCAAAACAAATGCTTAAAAAAAAAAAAAAAAAACAGGACTTCTGAGAGGGTGGCCACAGAGGTCATTCCTCGAGGTTGCAAGTCCTGAGC